TGTCTCGCAATTTCTGTCTCGCAACTTCACCTACCTCCTTCTTTGAAGAGGACGACATTTGAAATGGTGTTCCGAATCCACCCAAATTCGTTGGCTTGGGCTGTGGTGGGGTGAAGCTTCTGTAATGTTCTGCGTCCGGCATCGCACTGAGGGATTCAGTCTACATAGTGCGTTACGGCAAGTGTGTGCATGTGTCAGTCGACTAGACGCAGTGATAGCCTAGAACAGTGCTTTTCATTCCAATTGATTGGTCTTAGTCTCCCTGTTCTTGTAAATCTGCATTAATGTCCCTTTGCCTACCAGAATCAGAATGATCGCCCAATCTGTGGTACTTTGTCACCGGGGCATGGATTAACTCGTGGCCAGTTATATGATTGCATAGTCGACTACAAAAGGTGTTTAATATGAAATGTGAGTTTGTGAGACGTTTGTCAATGAGTCTCATACCAGCATTTTTTCCTGAATGAACGCATTAAACGATCACGGACCGTCCCTGTTTCTGGATACGAAGTGACACTACGACTACAGATATCTGGAATACCGTATTGCTTGCATACCTCTACCTTTTAGGACATGTCGGACATTCCTCATACGACCATGGAACTGGTAGTGGTTGCTCGGAGGTTGTTACCATTAGCGTCTTTTCTTTGATGGGAACCAATGGAAGGAACGAATGAAGTCAAGAAGGGCGTATGAGCGAACCCAGATTTCGATGCCCTTGTGAATAATGTGTGCGTTCCTGAATTCTGCTCATCAATCATCTACCTGAGTATATGATCACCCATTGTCTCCTAGTTTGTTTGACCTACTCAGGTGGCGTGTGTTTTATCACAAATGACATAGGACGCCATTTAAGCACCGAGTGTTTTTCTAATTCGCACTAGCCATTTTCTACTGCGACAATGAACCAATCTGATAGCCACATGCAATCTCTCAACATGTGCTAACGCTTCATGCGAATACATTTTCATCCATGCAACGCAACTCATCCTATTTTATTTGCCTCGTTTCTATCCAAGATTATACTCCGAACGGTACGTAGATTGCAAGAGATGCTTTCTGCCCTCCATCTATCTATAGCACGCTGTTAAACTCAATCATTATATGATGCTCATGGTGGGAATCTTGAAGTCGCTCCAAAAGTTGAAACGATGTGTGGATGGTGTTCTTTCTTTTGAGAGGAGTTAACGGGAGCGGATAGAATCTAACAGGTATGAAGTCTCAGTATCTGGGAACAGAACTCTGCATTGACGAAGCGTGTACCTAACAGGTATGAACTACGAAACGTTAGCTTTTGTATGTCGAAAGGTAAAGTATTTTAACTCACGTCTCAGTATCTGGGAACAGAACTGAGGCGCTCGTTTGGCTCTGCTATAGGTTTTATACGGTAAGTGTTCCTAAACGTTATATTGAAGTAAAACATTGATACTTGGTAGTTTTCGGCCCCGACGTCACTTCTGTCATCGTCGTGCCTCTCTCTCCTTGCGCTCGGACATTCTATTCATCATCCTGCCCCTTTGCTTCGGTCTCATCGGCCTTGTTCGACTCTGAGGCTTCGGACATCGACACTCCCCCTCGAGCGCAAGCTAGTCCCATCAGGGCCCTTAGCTTTTGCAAACGGGGGCGTGGCACGGCCTTGGTAAACACATCGGCCACGTTGTCGTCAGTGGGGCAATAGAGAATCTTGAAGGTCCCGTCCTTCACGTATGAGCGTACGAAGTGGTAACGCAAGTCGATATGCTTGGTACGTGACTGGAACTTCCTGTTTGACGCTAACGCGATGGCGGCCTGATTATCGCAGAATATCGGAATGGGGAGAGTGGGGGGGTCGTAGAGTTCGGTGAGGAGGAGTTTTAGGTACAGAAGCTCCCGGACGACGCTAGTAAGTGCTATATACTCCGCTTCGGCTGTGGATAGCGCGATTAACGGTTGTTTTCGGGCACTCCAGGCGACTGGACCTCCATTCAACATTACGATGTAACCGGACATAGAGTGCCTATGCGGTTGGGACGCCCAATCCGCATCGACGAACGCCTCCAGGCCAGCATCGTTGGAACCTAAGGTAAGTTCAAATGCATCAGTGGCCTTCAGATAACGTAGCGCGCGTTTAGCTGCCTCCCAATGCACCCTGCCGGGACTGCGCATGAACTACGACAAAGTTGTGACAGCAAAGGCTATGTCCGGGCGGGTGCTGGTCGCCGCGTACATCAATGATCCGATAGCACGTTGATATGGTACGTCCTTCATGGCCTCGACTTCTGAGTGCGTGGATGGGGATTGATCTATGGATAGTGTGATGGCCGGCTCCATGGGCGTTTGGACTGATTTCGCCTCGTCCAGGCGAAAATGTTCGACTATGGTGGCCACATAGGCCTTCTGGGACAATGTCAAGGTGCGTGATACTCTGTCCCGCATTACCTTCAATCCCAGGAGCCAACTTAGTTCCCCCAAGTCCGAAATCTCGAAGTACTGTTGGAGCTGGTCTTTGAACCGGCGGATGTGAGAGAGGTGGTTCGCAGTCACGGCCATGTCATCGACGGAGACCATTATGACCATCTTTTCATCGGAGGTGCGTTTGAAATAGACCGCTTGATCAACTCCTGACCTGCTGAATCCTAGCTTCGCAAACACTCCCGCCAACTCTTCCGCCCACTCGAATCCTGCCTGCTTAAGTCCCGGTAAGCTCCTCTTTAACCTCAACACCTTTCCATGCTGATCCTCCCTTAGGTACCCCGGTGGTGCCCTCATATAAATTTCCTCTTGGATGCTTGCATACAGGTACGCGCTCTTGATGTCGACTTGGTGGATTTCCCAGTCTTGCTGAGCCGCCATCGTCAGGACTGTCCGGATCGTGCTCATATTGGCAGTGGGGGCGAACGTGTCGAAATAGTCGACCCCAAACTTCTGTCTCTGGCCGTTTGCGACGAGGCGTGCCCGGAGCTTCAACTTTTCTCCGTCGGGTCCACGTTTGGTCGCCAAGACGTAATGGGAAGGTATGATGTTGGCGCCTCGAGGTGGGTCAACAACTTCCCACGTACCTAACTTCTCGAGCTGACTTATTTCGTAATCTAGCGCTTCTTGCCACTCCACTCCATCAGGACCGTTTAAAGCTTGTTGCAGGCTGGGTTCCGGCTCTGCAGCAGCCAAAGCAAGGTGAATGTGCGCCTGTTCATCCAGGAGGTCTAACGCTGACGCCTCCATTAGGGAATCTAAGGCTAGGGACGCGGTCTCCCCCTCATTGAGGGCCGCATAATATCCTGGAGGTGGTCTGGTGCGGGTGGACCTTGGAGCTGGAGGTGGGGTCGATGGACGTGGAGTTTGGATTCTGGCTGGGGTAGCAGGTGGCGGGATAGGCTGAACGACAGGTGAGTTATTACTGTTGCTACTATTATATTCGTCGTGCCACATGACGATGGACTCCCCCTCGTTCAGGGGATCCCTGGCCACTGTCACCTCATTAGGCGCAAAGGTGACATTGCGCTCGACAGAAACACGGCTCTTACCCGGCCAATATACCCGGTAGGCTTTGCTCTGGGTGTCCATCCCCACAAAAACTGCCTCCTCCGCCTTGGCCTCCAACTTCCCAGCGCCCTCAAGGTGCACGAAGATCCTGGCTCCGAATTCCCTAGCCTGGGAGAGGTTGGGCTTGGTCTTCGTGACCAGCTCAAACGGAGTCGCACCTGGAGTCGCCCTAGACGGTAGGCGATTCTTTAGCCAGGTGGCGTAATTGATGGCCTCTGCCCATAGGTACTTGGGGAGGTCCTTCGCCAGCAACATGGCCCTGGCGTGCTCGACGAGAGTGCGGTTTAGCCTCTCGGCTACTCCGTTTTGCTGTGGTGAGTCGTGAGTCGTCAGTTGTCGCTCAATGCCACGCTGACTCAAATACTCATTGAACTCCGCACTTAGATACTCTCCCCCACGATCTGACCGGACCCTGCGGAGCTGGACGCCTGGAGTTTGGCGTGTGAGCCAGGCCTCATAGGCCTTGAAGGCGGTGAGTGCCTCACTCTTTAGCTTCAAGAACTGGATCTTCGTCTGACGCGTGAAATCATCTGTGAAGGTGATGTAGTATCAGCATCCGCCCAAGCTGGCAGTCTGTGCGGGGCCCCATAGGTCCGTATGGACTAGCTCTCCATAGGTGCGTGCCCGGCTATGACTTTCGTTCGGGAAGGGTTTCCTCGCTGACTTGGCTTTGACGCACGTGTCGCAGAACTCCGGCTTGGAGTCACTGTCCAGCGTGACGCCCACGACGAGACCCTTTTTTACGGCCTCGAGCACTGCAGGCTGGGAGACGTGTCCCAGCACCCGGTGCAACTCACTCACAGTAAGTTTTCCCTTGGCAACGTTCGCATGGTGCTGACCTGACCTTCCCGCTGCTATGCTATAGAGACCCTCCACCTGCGGAATTTCCGCGATGACTCGACGTTTCGGGCCCTGGGACAAGACTTTGCACATGCGCCCTTCAAAAAGGACGGCCATGCCGGCCGCTGCAATGCGATTCGTGGAGATTAGGGTGAATGCCATGGCCGGTGCGTACAACGCGTTCTTCAGCGTCACTTTTGTGCAAGAGGTGTGCAAAAGGAGAATCCCGAACACAGAGCTCGCCTTTACATAAGCTAATGAACCTTAATATACAGCCACTCTAAGTTATGAGTGACACGTTTTGAGTTCCTCGCCAGCGGCCTCAAATCATCGTGAAATCGTTTGGCGAGTACCGTTAAGGGGGTGTTTTTACTACTGTAGAATAGATATAGATAGTTATTTTAATGAAACATGAGCATGTAAACATGATACCTGCTAAATGTCAGATCTTGGATGTGATTTTTGAGAACACGTGACTAATTAATATCAATATGATGCATCCGCGTCAATATCGATTCGACGTGTCTCGTCAGCACATCCTGCGTGCATTGAGTAACACGCCAGAAGAGGTTGCTTTGAAAGAACCAGTACGTTTTGTTAAATTGCATTTTTAGTTTACACTTATGACTATCTACAAGGTTGGCAACACACTTCCATGCGGCTTTTGTGGGCGTTCCGGACGACCAGAGTGTGCTATCACTATCACTGTGCCTGCGAAAGCCGCAACGACTTGGGACACCAAGTGCGCGTACCAGCACCAATTCCGATACATGTCCGCCGATGTCAGTTTGAAGAATCAACCGTGCCGCAACCTACCATTGAAGTGTGAACTCTGTCACCCTGTTCTCCCTCCAGCACCCGGCAAGACAACAAGAAAGACACCTATTGTCCCAGTCAGTGCTGTTTGGCGCTACAATATGCATGAGCACATTTTACAGGAGCACGAGGAATATGTGGTACCGGGACAGAGAGATGCTGGTTTAGCGCTGCCTGCGAATGTTTGGAAGGAGATGAGACTCACGGACTTGGAGCAGACCGCTTCACGCATCCCGAAGACGTGTTGGCAGCCTTCCTATACTCCCCCGGTCGAGATTGGGAAGGAGAACATACCTCTGTTGATTTCCTGCGGTTCAAAACGCTCTGCCGCACCCCAGGCAGGTCCATCTTGTCCTTCAAAGAAGGCTCGAACAACTATTCCAGCGGCTCTTTCTGCACTCGGTGCTTGAGTTATTACTTGACGGCGGACTTATGCCAGTCGTCTACGTACTTCATTCATTGTATTGCTGCAACTTGTACATTTTGCTCTGCGATTGTTCAGTCGATTCGTTTTTTCAAACGACTACCTAATATGGATAAATTGCGTGATCGGTTACACTGTCACGGAAGGCGTAGGGGGTACCCAAGTTCTGACAGGTCAGTGTGCTGAACTCTAGTTTTGCACGCCTCTTGCTTTTGTGCGCTTCTCACCAAGTGGCAGTTCTAGCTCGACGTCTCCTCGACCCACGGCGCTCAGACTTGAGCCATCCGCCGTGTGGATGTCCTGGGGGGATATGGGGGTGAAGTTGGAGAATTTTGCCCGGTCTGGGCAGAAGTGAGAGGTGGCCCCAGAGTCTACGATGGCACCTCGTCGGTCGAGGGGCACCCTGAGGTCCCTGGCTATGCTTGCCAAGTCGGACGATACGAATGTGTATTGGTCCTGGGACCCGGACTCTGCGGCTGAGTTTGCCGTCTCTTTGGGACCCTTCTCACCCTTACGCCGTTGCTGATTCGGGCCTTGGCCCTCTTTTCCCCCTCCAGGCCTCCAACAGTCGGTCTTATAGTGACCTTTGCGTTCGCAATTATAGCAGGTAACGTCTGCATTCGTTTTGCTCGATGTAGCTGACCTTTTGCCCTTGTCTCTAGGCTCCCTTGCGCTGAGCGCAGTACCTGCGCTCCCCCTTTTATTGGGGCGCTTCTCGGTAAGCTGACGGTGTTCGTATTCTTCCGTAACGATGCTGATTAGTTCGTAGGAAGACAATGGCGTCTTTGTGATTTTGGCTGCCGCGTTAATGGACGAGAGTAGCGGGCAATAGAACTCTGGTAGGGAACCGAGGATGATAGCATGGAAATCCGTGTCGAGGATCCCAGCTCCCATTCCTGCAAGTAGCTCGCGCAGACGTAGGAGCTCCGCGAAGTGAGCTTTGACGTCTCCTCCCTCCTCGCATCTCGTCTCCTGCAAACGCCGACGCAAATCGATCTGGACGAGCTCGGTCTTGCCTTCGTGGATCTGGCAGATTTCTTCCCAGACCTCCGAGGCACTCTCGAACTTCTGGACGCGCAGCAACAGTCGATCGGTAATCGTACTGAAGATTTGCTGTTTAACAAGTGAGTTCTTTTGGTCGTATTCATCCATTTTCTTATCGCGCTCATCGATCTCCTTCTGAGTAGGAATCGAACTGTCCGGCTTTTCCGGCACCCCCGATACCTTTCCAATGAGGTAGGGTAACGGCTCGACGGCACGACCATCTGCATATTGCATCAAACCTCGGGCACTTATCGCTGTCAACGTTCTCTCCTTGTAGGTAATCCAATTCGTGCCATCTTCGGCAAGTTTTGGGACGTTGAACAACGAGGACGTAGTGCCGGGGAGCGTATTATCGGTGGTCATGTCAGGGCTCATAACCTTTTGAGAGGAGTTAACGGGAGCGGATAGAATCTAACAGGTATGAAGTCTCAGTATCTGGGAACAGAACTCTGCATTGATGAAGCATGTACCTAACAGGTATGAACTACGAAACGTTAGCTTTTGTATGTCGAAAGGTAAAGTATTTTAACTCACGTCTCAGTATCTGGGAACAGAACTGAGGCGCTCGTTTGGCTCTGCTATAGGTTTTATACGGTAAGTGTTCCTAAACGTTATATTGAAGTAAAACATTGATACTTGGTAGTTTTCGGCCCCGACGTCACTTCTGTCATCGTCGTGCCTCTCTCTCCTTGCGCTCGGACATTCTATTCATCATCCTGCCCCTTTGCTTCGGTCTCATCGGCCTTGTTCGACTCTGAGGCTTCGGACGTCGACACTTTCAGAATAATAAAATGGGGTCTTTGGGGAACTCTCAAGGCAAATACAATCATCCGAAATTCAGAATCGTAACTCAACTCATCAGTAGATCATTGTTGTGATGGGGCCGCACCTTGGAATTTAGCCTAGCTATATTTTGACGTGACCACGTATGTGGTTCTGCCTGGTGTGTTCCCATCACGGACATGATTGTTGCGGGGGCACTTGACATAGCGATATCGTTAGAACGAGTCATGTTGCTGCTAATACATCGCGTTTGATGCTATAAACTGTCCGCAGCTGACGAAGGTTTATGGAATCTTGGAATGTTACATGACCGATGACAGCTCGGTGACCGGTAAGAGAATAATGGAGACATGGAAGCGAGATGGTGACAGTGCGGTTTGCTTATGAAGATGAAAATACGGCGCTCAGCGTTTGTAGGGCCAAGGCGTTCCGATATACTAATGTGATCCAGAAGACACGTTGATGCAATGTAAAAGTGAAATTCACTGACTATAACTGGGGCCAAATGACATTTCAGGGATCAGATCAATCATGATCTAGGCCGATGCCGATCAGCTGATCGTATCAGAGCGCCGCCACTGTCATAATCAATCTACCTTCGGAAAGGTCACCAGAAGAGTCAGAACCACCCACTCCAGGCATCCACGTCGATCTTGACTGATTCAGCTGTATGATGGACATGAGGCAACAGGGTGGGTTAGAGGATTGCATTACGCACAAGTGTACTCTCCCTGCTAATCGTCCGAGATTCCTCTGTTCTCTGAGATTGTTCCAGGGACAGGAAATTTCCATTGGAGCATCCCTGGCGCTCATGATATCGGACAGATGCGATGATGGGACTATATTGTGAATGTGAGCGCAAAAGACAAGAAGGAAAAGCTCTCCTTCTGATTATCTATTATTAGAAGCTGTGCTCCCGCTACCCTCCGAGTATGACAGCGAGCAATCAGGATAGGAGCGCTTGTCTGGATCTGACGTTTGTTGTACTGAACCTTGAATCGATTTTTGCTAGCTGGAATGGATGTGATAAGCTCAAGTTATGATAATCGTGCCGCATGACGCATGACCAACCACTGGCACGGTCGACATGCTGAAGGGAATATATCGACTAATTGAACTTGATCAGTACATGCAGACGCTCGCGAGTCGATCGGAATAGTAAAGTTTACTCAAATTCGGGAGGCCGAGAAAGTTCATCCGGGTAGGGGAACTCCTGCACAATGGTTCTGCAGATCTGCAAACAAAATCTGCGCATGTGCATAAGGCAAATGTGTTACCGGGTTCGGGGAGACCTGGAAGCCTTTGCCGGTGGAGAAGAAGTTGTTGTATAGGGGACTCGCGCCGCCTCACAATGACAGACTTCTGACGCTCGGATGTCATCTGGGTTAAACATTCTTAGCGGCCAGCGCTGATGCAAGACTTGCCGTGATGCCGGTCAGGAGAAGATAATCCGCCCTGTCGGAATTTTCCAAGCCCCTACACTGGTTTGAGAATCAGTTCATTTACCTGCATCATCAGGCGCTCACCATACCATCGACTGTTTAATCATCCGTTCTGCAGCAACAGACAGCCCTTCTCATTACAACATATTCTGGTTCCCTGGATCCGATTTTCTGTCACGGATCACATGTAGGGACGTATGCACATGGCTAGCCAGTGATACTTATAGGCTCAGTGTGATCAGGGAAGTCGGGCGTTAATATCAATCGTTTTCAGGGGATGTAATGGTGATTTTTTTTCGGAGGTTCAATATCTCACAGCAAGTTCAGATAAACGCTGTGCAGATTTTTGCGAGTGACCTAACCGGAAGCTTGCGAGAGCACATATTTAAACACATGAATATCCTGTAAGCCTGAAGTCAAGTACCGCACTATCTCATTGCACTATCTCACCTCGACAATTATGCAAAGCCCTCTGCTCATTCAGTCTGCCAACGTTCCAGATTCTTCTAAGTCAGACCACCGCTATCAATCATCTCTGATAGTGGACTATCCGCTGCTAGTGCAGAGGGGACAAGTGAGCGGGCAGCCTCCTATCGCACACGTCCAGCAATACGAGCGCGCGTGCCCAGCCCCCACTACTACACTCAATCGGCCCTTGGGTGTAGATGCAGTATATTACCGAGACTATCCCTTGCTAGCGCAGAGGGGACAAGTGAGCGGGCAGCCTCCTATCACCCACGTCCAGCCATACAGGCGTGCGTGTGCAGTCCCCACTGCTGCACTCGATCAGCCCTTGGGTGTGAATGCAGTGTGTTACCGACCCACCGTGGATGTCCCAGTGGTCTCTCAATATCACGTAAGTCCCCACAGTTGCTCAATATTGCACAATCTCATCCACGGTTATGGTGTCATCATTCAGGCATCAGCTACCTTCTCGCCAAAGGACATAAGTTTGGTGCATACCCATGCGTCATATTCTAACCAGCCCATTTCCGAGTTCATCAGCAATAATTGCGGGAACTGGACACTCGCGTTGGATGTCCCTATCCCAGAAGACTTGGTCCAGCCAACGCTCACGTCACTGTCATATACGGTCAAATATAGCACAGCGAATGATCACTTAGCTTGTGTCGTTCGATCCAATATTCTACTCGCAACAACTGAATCAGAGGAGCTGGGCGATAAGAAGACTAGCGAGGCTACTGCTATGTGCCTTTCGTCCGTACTAGGCATCAAAGCTAATGACTTGGAGAACCAGTGGAACCACTTCGTAGATCGCCAAGAAATTCCTGTTAATGCCCGCATCGTCGAGAACAGCCATCTGTACTTGCAGATCCATATCTCGGAGTATCCTACCGTAACGATGCTGCGCTCTCTTTCGATGGATGTCTTTGCTACTTGGCTGGATGAAGACGAAGAAAAGTGTCTGCTTCAGAAACGTCAAGAAGCTGAGGCCAAGAAGGTAGCTGACGAACTGAAAGCAAAGGAGGAACAAGCCAGGAAAGCGGCAGAGAAACAGGTGGGCAGCGCCGCGGATGAGAAGATGCAGGAAAAGATCCAAAAAGCGCTCGACCGTCTTCCAAAGGAACGTAAATGTCCTCAAGGATATGCTTGGGTCCAAAATCCGACTGGCTTCAAGTGCGCGGCGGGTGGACACAGCATTTCTTGGGAGGAATTGAATCAATTGACTGGCTCGGGTAATTAGGAAACCCATTCACCTCTATATCGCCACTGTTTTGCCCATATCGTTTACGTCTGCACTCACTTCTATGCTCTTCTCCTATTGTCCAAGTCCCATCAATTAGTCGACCTCAGAAACATGCACATTTTCTTCTTACCGATGTAACTGTATTTTCATTGGGAAAAACTCACGATACGGACAGCCTTCGTTGCATGATAGGCTGATACCAGTTGGACTGCAGAAGGCGACTTGTATACCACATGATTTGGTTCCGCGGATGCAATCTGTGTGACTCTCATGTCGTCGATGTGCACAAGTTGGCAGTCTGGTGCGTACCATGCGCTGATCTGCACGGCCAAGAAGAGGTACGTCTGGTTGAAGTTGCGGTATTAGTAAGTGTTGGGGATAGGTATACTTAGTACGAGTGCTTTAGCCTGTAATGCAGTGGATGTGTATTGAGGACGGCATAATTAATATTCCGGATAGTCTTGCAGATTGCAGATATCAAGATTTAGATGGAGATACGTCACCCACTGGGGGAGAGGCGCTCAGCTTAAACATGTACAAATAAATAAAGGCGGGCAAGCGAGCGCAGGCTAGCGATGAATTTGTCCTTCCAATAAGTATTGTCACTTGTTGAACACGAGATACCATGCTATTACAGCAGTTTGCATAACTAATGGCGCAACATATAACATCTCTTGAAAGACTTAGAAAAATGTCGAGTGACAGAGTAACTACAGGAAAACACATCAAGTCTACAACACAACTATGGGTAATGGGGGGATTTCGCCTGACCTCAAGCTCGCAGACTGTCGCTTGGTAGACGTGATGACGACTTCGGATGTAGCCAGAAGTAGCCACCATGCGTCCACGTCAAGCCTGAGGTGTAGACCACAAGCGTCTTTGATGCAAGAGTATGCACTGTCAACAACATGGAACAGCAAAATATTGTATCGCGATATGACACCACAGTCGATCCTGCATTATGATACAAAGTTCAAACTATGACGGACCTAGATGTCAGGTGTGAAAATCACCGCTTGCCTCAGATTTATGATTCATCTTCACGCGCTTAATAGTTGGCATCCTGCTCAATGAGCGCGACGGCTCTTGAAGAGCGAGGCTTAATGGAACACTTGAAAGGTTTAGGGTGGCTAGAAGGGCATATATTCGGTTCGGTGCCGGACGTGATCAGATATGCAACATACCTGACTGTGCCTGATAATGGATCAACCTCAGGGGTGATCTCAATACCGTTCTCAACGACCTTCGAGATATCGAACACGGCCAGTGACATCGCGGTGGACAACCAGACCGAGGCTTCAGCGAGGTGAATACCTGTAAACGAAAATGAATTCAATGCCAGGATACAGTTTGGGAGCCGGGCATACCTGGACAAAGACTGCAGAGCAGAAAGTTAGCATGGCACAAAAATCTACTGCATGCTTACCGTCTTCCAAAGCCGAAGCAGATCGTGCGGGGATCTTTCTCAGGCTCCTTCCCATCATTAGCCAAAAAGCGATCAGGATTGAATTGCGAGGGGTCAGCATATCTCTTCGGGTCATTCAGCATGAACCTGCCATTATATTCTGTTCAAATATCGAATATGGAAAGAAAGCGTACTGACCAGATATTAGGCACGACAAAGGCACCTTTTGGGATGTAGTACCCGTCATGGATATCGTCCTTAGAGACGCAGTGAGCAAAACCTGAGATGGAGATACCACTCAGTAACTAGATAGTGCATTGAACGAGATACACAGACCGGTAGGGATAACAGAATGCCATCGTAGGGCCTCTTTGGCAAGCGCTCCGATGTAGGGGAGAGAGTCTTGGTCGGCGAAGGAGGGAAGACGATCAGGACCGATAACAGCATCTATTTCAGCCTGAGCTTTCTTCTGCACGTCAGGGAATAGCGTCATAGCTAGGAAGAACGAGTTGATAGTAGAAACAATCTGGAGGGAAAAGTGTATCACTTTCAGAAAATGATTGTCAGAAATATGGAGGGAGGGACCAACAGTGTCGGAACCGCCGGCATATAGACCTGCAGCAGCCCATTTCACGATGTGCTCGTCTTCCGCTGACAAAGTACCGCCTCCCAACAGATTCGAGGTGAAAGACTCCGAGGCAATGCCAGCAGCCTGTGAAGTGAAAGTCAAACTTCAACGCATACTTACAGAATCATAGATGATGGTCACCATCTGATCCACGACGAAATTGTATGGTGCAGAAACGAATTTTTCAAGGTTGTCGTGCCATTCGTGGGCCAGACGCTTGAAGCCAGCACCAGGGAACCATTCAGGGACCTTGGCCACTAAAATGGTGAGGCCATTGGAAGCAAACATCTGAATGCTATGGCTTACAGAATGGTACAACATCAGCCATGAAAGCGCCAGGAGCGGTGGCACGCGACCACTCGGCCATAACGCGTTCTGCAAGGTCAACGAAGGGATCGTCATTCTCTTTCACCTCGTAACCATGAGAGATGCGAAGAATCACAGCGGTAGCGGTGCTATAAAAATCAAGATCGTGTCGATGCAATGATGAATTATACGTACTGTCGAACATGTGCCTGCAGTTGATTGGGTTTCGCGAACACACGCTTGAGGAATCGGCGAGTCTCGACCTCCTCTACTTGGCTGTATGTGCCCACAGCGGCGCGGGTGCCAGTGACGCCGTGGAGTTTTTTGCGGTGCCGACGCAGATGGTCGCCATAAGGGAGGAGAATTATAACATCTTTCCAGCCAATAAGCTCGCCGCCAACAGTAAGAATAGGACGGTCAGAGTAAATAGCGCCCTTGTTGTCCAGCATGTCCATCGCAGTCTCGACAGAGTTCAGCACTATGATGTGTTGACCCAGAACATTGATATGCGAAATTTCACCTGTCGATAAGACATTGAAATGCAAGATTGTGTGAAATAAGAAACACTCACCATACTTCTTGCCCCACTCTGTGAAGGTGAGCCAGGGCCTGATGTAGGGCATGTCCATAATGTTCCCGATGAGAGGCCACCCCGGAGGGCCAGGGGGATATGGAGGGTTCTTCTTGTTGAACACCTGCTTAAGTAGATATACTCCGACACAAACAAGGCATAGGTAGAGCCCAGTGACGTTGGTGAGAGCCAGCATGATCTAGTACTAGGAGAGGACGATCAACTTGAGAGTGAGGTTGTAGTGAAGCTTGCAGGACGAGATGCAAGGAGTTTTATACTGACCATCTTATCTATGACCTAAGTTTGGGCCCGTCACGAGGCTTCATTATCTGAAAAAAGTCTGAATGGAACAAAAAAGATCATAGATCTCTGTTTGGTACATTGCGCTAGCACCTGTTGCTAAACACCGCCCACCCGATGACGAGTTTCTCGCTGCCGTTAGATAGTGGGTATTACAGTGTGACACATCTGGTGAATGGGCTGACCTACATATTAGTAGACTCTTAAGCCAAAGCATTAGACTGATGGGCCAGTCTGTCTATGAGGCGAGCTGTCGTTGCAGTCTGTGGATAGTAGGACTGGGGGCCTTTGGTGCTGAGTTTAAACGGTGGGGATCTCGGTCGTGTCACGGTTGAGTAGCTAATTACCGTACTATGATGGTAGTGACGAGGCCCACAAAGGGTTTTTTGATCTCAGACTCTCGTTTTGACGAGTTACGAATACGATGAGTATACTGTGCTCACGTGATCAGTATGCAAACATGTAACACACTGTCACATGTCACAGCTTCAGCTGCATACACGACTGGGCACTAGTATCACATACTATGATAATGATATCTGCTAGACGTTGGCGCGAATGACGCCCTGGGCTGCGGCTGCGGGTCCCATGCCACAACATCGGTTTACTCCCCATCAGAACTTTACTAGTATGATGCTTCCATTAAGTGCCACATTGATGATATTTCATGCTAATCCGTATACGAGCAAAGCCGTCAGTCTAGCCTTTTAGTTAATTGGTCTTATCTCTTTTACAAAGCTTCTCTATGTATATGCACCACCTATCTCAAGAATTGGAGTAAAACTCATTTCAACGTCTTCTCCATGCCGTCCCATGAGGGATTCCCAACTCGCCCGAACTGCCCTCCAAGCGCTCCATACTATCCTCGTTCCAAGCTGCTTGTTACTACATCCTGCGAGAGGTCCCAGATCAAATATTGCAGTCCCTTTGAAGATGTTCTTGCAAGACCGACGCAATGGTGTCATAGTTCTTCAAGCTCGTATACCGGACCGCGAAGCACTGGTAGACGGAGGTTCATATGCGTATGACTGTTGAATATCGAGGGATAAGTGATGTATGGACTTTTGCCATTACAACTACGCCATTGTTTCTGATTGTGATCACAGATGTCCTCTCTCTCCCACCTTCGAGGAATGAATCTCACAGAGGTTTATTGAGGTTGGTTCTTCAGTGCTTGGACAAGGTGACCAAGCGCTCGGCAGTCTCCCAACCCCGAACCCACGACTGCAAGTTCCACATGGGGTCAGATCAGGTCGAACCTAATTAGGCCAGGCCAAAGTTACGGTCTGGCGTCTTATACACATGCGTATATTTCCTCGAGAAGCAGCAGCCCGCCACAGGGATCGTAGACACGCTTGTCAATTAAGTCTAGACTTTATGTTGCCTCGTGTCTATGATTCTTTCGCAGGCCATGGCTCACCTTCACGTTAATCATATTGATTCAGGCGCCCTGATGCACAGCTGACTGGCATCGGTCTGGATCATGACCCGACATTTGGCCCTGTTTATAGTCAGTGAACTTTACTTCAACATCGCTTAACAATCACATCGTCTTGGAACGTCTTGTATAAACGCTGAGAGCGAAACCCTTATCTTTATGGACAAGAAACGAATGACTCCGATTGCTCGTACGACAAAGCCAACCGTTGACTAGCGCCAGATACAGCCGCGGTGATGTATGTTGAACGTTGAACCTCCACGGGGTATTATTGAATTTCTCGGACTGTGGAGTAATTAACAACTTGGCGACGGCTCGGAGAAATAAAATAGGAGAATAAAATAAGAATTGAGTGCGACGGCTACTATCTCCTTTTCATTCACTGAATGCATTCAGAATTTGGCATCTCGATTCCCCGTGGTGGGACCTTGTCACTACAGGTACACTCCGATAGCCTGAGAAGGCTTTAGTAAATCTCGGTTGCTGTTTTTCAAAATGTAACACACCTGTCAGACAAGAGAACGGTCCTCAAGTTAAGCCGACATTGTCCTTGACATTATAGAATTGACCAGACCTATCAGCATAACAATGAGTGCCAATGCAGTTACATTTACGCGGGAAGGAATCATCTTGCCTTGGGAAATAATGGGAATTGAATGAATTCTTGCCCTGGAGATGGACGCATGTATCCATAAACTTATTGCTTACGATAAGGACCTCTTACCAGATGTTCAGCATGTAAAGAACACTGAGACAGTGTAAAAACGCACAGCGAACACACCTCAGTGCAAGACACCTGCAATCCCTCTACCAATGTCCTTATCAACCTCTAGTACAATGGCGGCGCGGCAGCCGCTGACTTCACGCGTTACACAACTGTCAGAAACATTTGAAGGTCATCACGAATGCATCTCTGCATTTGCAGTTCTGCCCGACGGACGACGTATGGTCACCAGTTCGAGGGCCCACAAGACACTTTATCTGTGGGAATTGACGACGAAGAGATTGTTAAAGCGTCTAGTAGGGCATCCCAGTGATGTGTTTGGACTTACAGTATCACGAGACGGGAGAGTGATAGCAAGCTGTGATGTCACTGGAGGGATCATTCCTTGGAACGGAGAAACTGGAGATTGTCTGCTTACTAATTCTAAAGCCAAGATCACCGCTACCCAAAATGGGTCCACTTCCCACATCAACTCTGCTGCTTTTCCAATCATCTCAGCCTACGAGTCTACTGCAGTCCTATCGCTGGACTTTTCTGCAGATGGAACAATTCTGGCGAGTGCGGGCGACCGTACAGTGAAGTTTTGGAACACAATTACGTGGCAGCAACAAACTGCCACGATCACTCCGAGTCCTGATGCAGTTGTCTGCTGCGTTCGGTATTCGTCGTCTGGCGAATATCTTGCCATCGCGACAAAGCAGGATCATGCTCAAAATATCTTCATTTATAATCCAGTAACAATGCAGCTTATCAATAAGCTCAATGGCCACTCGGGTGGCACCCTCACACTCACGTGGACGTTGCAGGGAGCATACCTTCTCTCTGGGGGCGGTAAAGACGACCCTACCATTCGGGTGTGGGACGCATCGAAGGGGAACGAGATCTGCTCCTTCCGTGGTCACACTGAACAGATCAACGCCATTTCTGTCAATGAGTCCAACACCATTATCACTTCCACATCTCGTGACAAAAGTGTCCGCCTCTGGCCGTTCCCGATCCAATCCAATACACTCAAGCTCTCTACCGGCGCGTTTTGTGACACGTTCTCCGTGGATGGCAAGTACGTATTCGGCGTAGGCGATGACCAGAAGATATCACAGTGGTTACTACCTTCGAGACCGGTACTGGTATGTTCCCGTTGATTTCTAATGATTTTATCATCTCATCTCACGAATTTTAGACAAGAATTCCATTGGATCATGCTATTAGACAGGTATGCTCTCAATATTGACTCTGAGAACGCGATTCAAGCATACCACAGATCAACTTCACCAGCACTATGTCCAAGGCCGCCCTCAATGCGTTTATTTTTGGGGGCTTGTCAGACCTGTTGAAGGCTGTGGAGATATTCACAGAAGCAATAACGGCAGATGTTAAGAACTACATCAACTATGTGCACCGCGCAACTGTTTATATACGCCTATGCAAGTGGGACGCCGCGCTTGAAGATGCAGAGAAGGGGAGTTATACCAACTGACACCGAAGATATACTAACTTGGATCGTGATATAGTCTATCAGCATTCAACGCTCAACGCTAGGCCTTATGTTCAAGAGCATTGCTCTCTATGGAAAGAGGCAGATTAAGGAAGCGAATAGGGCATTTGATCGCGCGTTACAGTTTGCGACTGGAGATACAACAACCCATCTTCTTCTTTTGATCAAGGTGGGTTACATTTTTCTTACATGCTCCGTGCTTCATTATGATTTGCAGGCTATTGCAACATTCAATGCACATGAATACGACGAAGCAATCATGTACGTTAAAGACATGGCCGAGGCTTCTTTTAACCATGGTGCCGATCTTCTTGTTTGTAATATCGTGCTAGTGAGTATCAACTCCGGCTCGTGGTCTGAATTCGAGATTGATTCTGTGCTTCGCGCATCAGACATACTTCTACGCCGAAATGGCATTTGCTGCCTCAGAGAGCAACATTCGCGAGAAGGCCATCGAGTACATCACTACCGCTCTCAAAATAGCAACTACCTGTTCACTTGAGAAAATAGACGTTTCCATATACACAGAATTCGACGTGGTACGTTGATACACAGCACCACCGACTCAAACATGATATTTGTGCTCAACTGCGTTTTTTTTGCAGATTTTCGGGTGGAACCTTAAGTCATTGTGGCAAAAGATAAACAAGTATCGCTGCCTTATACTCTTCCGGACGTGTAACATCGAGGCGCTCGAGTGTTACCGATTATTGATGGAACCATGTGACAAAGCTGAGAGGGAAAGCTTAGTTGCTTGGTTTGCTAGTGAGTCTTTTCAGTCATGTCAACCATGCTACCGTTCTCAACTATCTTTCACTCAGCTTACAAGGGTGTAGGGTGTATGCCGCATGCAGCTCAGATACAATCAGCGGCAGATGTAAAGGCGAGCAAGAATGCAGAAGATGAAGCCACAAAAGCGAGCTTAGAAAGAAAAGTCGCCGAAGCAAATGTGGAGAGGAACACAAAGGTGGGAAGCGTCGCGGATGATAAGATGCAAGAAAAGATCAAAAAAGCGCTCGACCGTCTTCCAGAGGATCGCAAATGCCCTCAGGGATATGCTTGGGACCAACATTCGTTTGGGTTCATGTGTGCGGGGGGTGGACACAGCATTTCTTGGAAGGAATTGGATACATTGGCTAGCTCGGATAACTAGGACGCTTGACAAAACCAAGTCATTTGCCTCTACATCGCTATTTATTTCTCCATTTCTTCTGACTGATTATGTCTGCACTCACTTCCTTGTTCTTCTCTTGTTCTCCGAGTCTCGTCAACCAGTTGACCTCCGAAATATACCCGTTTTCGATTCTTACAAATGTGACTGTATTATTATAAAGAATAACTCACAACCTTCGTTGCGTGATAGGATGATAAAGGCGAGTTGTACATCACATGAGTTGGTTCCGCGGAAGCAATTTGCGTGCCTCTCACATGATGTCCCCGTCGGTGTACAGCCTTTCCGTACCTCAAAACGTGTTGGTATCACACTCATACAAGGTATACGTGCGTACTAATGTACTACATCATTAATTGTACATCTCTTATGCTACACCGTAGGCGCAAAGCCAGTTTGAGGAACAGCGCCAATCAGCGACCAGATTATTAGTAACTGAGCGTCTCCATAATCCCATCCAAAATCCTGACCGCATCCGGCATATTAAACTTCTCAAACTGCAGCCCAGCTGGGACACTAATAACGATGAAAATAAAACGTCGTCAGAAACCGAGGAGAGCGGGGATATATAACAAAAGACACTCACTCCCACCCCGTAATCCTCCTCACAGGCGCCTCTAGCCTCAAAAAAGCCCTCTTCCCGACCTCAGCGGCGATTTCTCCTCCGACGCCACCTGTCATACCTGCTTCGTGCACGATCACGAGCCTCTTCGTCCTACGTACGCTCTCTACGACTGTTTCGACGTCCCATGGTAATATCGTTCGGAGATCGATGAGTTCGACTTTGGCGTTGCGAAGGGAGGGAGGGATGAGTGGTGCGAGTGAGGGTGGTGGGGAGTTGAGGAGGCGGAGGGCGGATTCGCAGTGGTAGACGGGGGTGCCCCATGTTAAGAGTGTTAGATCGGATCCTGGGATGAGAATTTCGGCGCGGGAGAGGGGGAGGGAGAAGTCGTCGATTGGGACTTGTTCGACTGTGGGTGAAATCAATAATGCATACAGGGAGGTTGGGAAGGGGAACGTACCTGCAGAACGATAGAGGATTTTGGGCTCCATGAATATGACTGGGTTGGGATCGCGGATAGCTGAGAGGAGGAGACCTTTGCATTGGATTGGGGAGCGGGGTATTACGACCTAGCAGTGCATGAGTTCATATAGAGATTCATCATGGGATTAGCAGTATGAACACACCTTGAGACCAGATGCACCCATGAAGAACCCTTCAGGACTCTGTGAATGGTATAGCCCACCATGACCCACGGCCATGGTTGGCGTACGCACGGTTAGCCCGCCGATAGAGAAGTGTCCACCTGAACGGTAGCGAAACTTTGCGGCTTCGTTTACGAGCTAAGTTGAAGGTCGATTTTGAAGTCTAAGATTCGGATAAATTGGGACGAACCTGATCAAATGCGGGGTATATATAGTCAGCGAACTGAATTTCTGCGATTGCAGTATGCCCCATGGACGCGAGGCCAATTCCAAAGCCTGCAATACCTTGTTCTGTCAATGGGGTATTGAAGACACGTTCGCGACCTGCAACACGATCAGTTATGGACACGATGTGTATGATTAAAACGTACCGAATTCTTCTGCTAGGCCCTGTTCGATGAGTGAGGACAAATGATGTATGAAGACATGACAATGCATACCATTGTGCACCTAAACACCCCGCCAAATGCTATATCCTCACCAAATATGACGGCAGTATCATCCTTTGAAAGTGCAATACTGAGACCGTCAGCAGACTTTCTTGGTAGAGAGAAATGGGTTACCTAAGGGCGTCCCGCACAGCTTGGTAGAGGTTCATCTTGCGCGTCTCGCGGCCGCCGATAATGTTACGGTCAGACTCCTCATCTTGCCATGATATACCTGGCGTTCTGAGAGCAGATTCTCGTGTGATGCGGAAAAGCTGAGAGGATGCGACGGATGAAGAATGACCGCCCGCAGGTGGGGGCTCGACGGCAGTGGTGCTCGCTGTCGTCTGCCATCGACAGGACTTGTTCCGGGTGAGTGACACGATCACCTGGAGGTTGAAAGAGAGACTTACGAGTGCAGGAAATTTAGAGCGCAGACGACGGGCGAGCATTTGGAAATGGAATAGGTGTTAGGACAAGGATAGGGAGAAGACAAGATCCGTGAAGCAAGGCAGGATGTTAGCATTCTGCATTGAACCGAAAGTCTAATAATTGATCGTAATTGAATGACTTTGGCCAAATGGGATTGTCGGGCCGGATCTGTGCCGCAGCATGGTATCTCTTTCAGAATGATGATACTCATGACTTTTAGTTTTTAGCTTCAGGCCTGATCTTAATTTAAACCAAGAGTTCGGATTCGCGAAGTTAGTAGGTGGTCTAGAGGAGGAGCAGGCCTGTCCAAATATATGACCGTCGCATGACTTGTTAAGCGGCGTAGGAATTTCTCAAGGTCATACATACCCAATGCAGATTAAACTTACTGTTACTAACACCTTCTCATCAACAGCATGGAGAGCGACAGTGCATTCGTGGCTCCTGAGGGCGTTTACTCTGTCACTGAAGAACATAAACCTCTTCCAGTTCCCATTCACTCTTCTACAGCAGCACAACCCATCTACCAAACTCGCCTTTCATCCATCACAGTCCGCTTTCCGCCAAAGCACTCAGTTTCCCCAGGTCTCGCCCAGTTTCTCGGTGCAAATCTAACAAAGGATCTTAAAAAAGACAAGGAAAAAGAGCGGGAGAAAGAGAAAGAGGCCGTCGTAAAGGAGCGCCCCTTGCTGGAGGAGCGGAGCATGTCATCCGGCAGTACCCCAGAAGACAGCTTTTCATCTCCAGATGTAGTAGCTACCCCAGACCTCTCAGCAGAACCCCAGCAGTACAAACTCTTCTCCCACCCTTCCGTCTCAGTAGGTAAAAAGAAATCGAATATATCACGACCAAAACACAACATGCGCACCACATCATCCACATTCATCACACGTCTTCAAAGCACTGAAGGTCTCAGCAAGACACTCGCAGCAAAACAAGGCGATGTCACATTCTTGTTCTATAATACCGGAAAGGCCTTCTTGTGGATCGAGGTCGGGTCAAAAACCAAGGTCCGTCATCTAGTCCTTGGCCGCGCAAAACGCTGCATGATTCTACCAGGAACCACTAACAAGGATTAGCTTCTCTGCATACCCAACTTGTCACGACGTAAACCCCTCCACCGCATCCTCAGAACGATTAGATGTTATCATAGGATTCAGCACAGGCGACCTAGTATGGTTCGGTATGCACTTCATCTCACGCCTGTTCCTCTACTCACAGTGATTAATCAGACCCAATATCAAGTCGCTACTGCCGCCTCAACAAACAGGTAGTCGTCCCCACTTATATTGTAAACACATCTCACAACAAAATACTAGGGCACCATATCCTCCTCCTTATGCACAGCCGTCCGTTGGGTTCCCTCCTCTCCAACCCTCTTTCTCGTCTCCCACGCAGACGGAACCATAATTGTTTACGACAAAGAACGCGAAGACGGCATATTCACTGCCACCATTCCAAATGGACTCACAAATACCCCGCATATAACCATCAACGCACATCATGCATCTCCTGTAAGTGATGAATGGGACCCTCTATCAACGATATTTGTCACACCTCCGCCGTGGCATCCAGAAGCAATCGGGAGAGGAGAGAAGGGCGTGGTCGTGAAGAACCCCGTAAGCCATTGGCGTCTGTGTCGCCGTGGTGTCGTCGGTCAGTGAAACCTCTTTAATACTCGCATTGGGAGCTCATCCTGGCTAGACTTCGTGTTCTCCCCTGATAATAAATATGTAGCTGCCATTTCAGACGATGGGTGTCTGAGGGTGATCGATCCACTTGCAGAGCAGTAAGTCGTCTCCTCCTCTGATCGCTGAACAGACTCATTCTTTAATTCAGGCTGGTGGACTGCTATGCATCCTATTTCGGTTCAATGACATGTGTTGCATGGTCTCCTGACGGGCGTTTCATCCTCGTGCGTTTCACTCCAAGTTCACAATTCAATGAACTCATCTTTGATTGTCCATCCTCGACTAGACGGGCGGCCAAGACGACCTGCTCACCATTTTCTCGCCCTGGGAACAACGAGTTGTCGCACGATGTCAAGGACACTCCTCATTCGTCTCAGCCGTCGCTTTCGACGAGCTCCGCTGCGATGGGCGGACATACCGCTTTGGTAGCGTAGGAGAGGATAACAAACTCATTCTCGTGCGCGTTTTATTGCACCCATAATTGACCGTTCACTCAACTAATCTGACAGTGGGACTTTTCCTCTGGCGCTCTTCATCGCCCCAAACTCCTCGGAGCACACCATCCGCGCCCATCGGTGTCATCTAGTATCTCGCTCGCTCACCGACGCGGAACGGGGTCGACGATTCAACTATCTGCACCACGGTATCATCCTGCGCCTTCGAGGAATGAAGTGTCGACTGTACAACCTGTATTGGTCAGTTTTCTTTCTTTCTTCCATTTTTCTACACGATTTTCCCATCGTGAAGGCAACTGGTTGACTTATAACGCACAACAGGTAAAACAACTCGACGCCGACCTCCTCACATCCCTCGCCTTCCTCCCGCGCGCGCTCATAACAGCGTCAAAAGCAGGCCACGTCCGAGTATGGGTACGGCCATTGGTCATGGCTAATGCTAGCCCTAGGAGAAGGCATACGCGTGGGACGTTGTCTGTAACAGATTTTCGGGGGGTAGTTCATTGAATGGGGTTCATAGTGGTTCGATCCGAGTCTGTGGTGGTTGAACTTCGTAGTGACGATGACTTCGCGGTGGCCCGACTTCGGCATCGTTGGGAAGCAGAGATGGGCGACAAGGATCTAACTTATTTGTGGATTATGTATATCTCAGCGTAAATTCCGCATGCGCACGCACGTACCAAGATTTATCGATACCGCCTATAATTTTATCGGTTTTCTCTGCCCTGACTTGATGTGTGTGGCGTATCAAGCATCGCTCGATCTCTCCTCAAAATCATCCGTCATATCATTCGCATCCTCCGCTTCACTTGCTGTCCCCGTTTCACCCTCATCATCCATATCTTCCATGCTTGCGTCCAGATCTGCTCCTGAATCGTCGTTCTCCTCGCCATCCTCGTTAATCGAAGGGCCGCCGCCTGATTGGCCTGTATCAGAACCATCGGAATCGTCTTCTGCCTACAAGCCAGCATAAGGAAAATCACTTCAAACCAAAACACGAAAAACCACGCACCTCATTCTTCTCCTCCAACTGCGTCGTACTCCGTCCAATAGGAACGAGCCACTGGAACCCTCGATTCCTTATCCCCAAATTCTATTCCAGTCGATCACGCGTCGATATGGACATGAGATATAATAAGATATAATTTGCGTGGAGTATTAGTAGGAAATCGCATCGCAGGAACGACTTCAGGAAGGGGCACGTACAGAATCTTCAAGTTCGTTCTCCTCGTCTGAGAGATCGTCGATTTCGCGTTGGAGATCGCGTCGGGTGTCCATGCGCCCGGGGTAGCGATCGAGTTTTGGGAGTGGGGTTGGGTTTACTTGGGGTGCGCGCGGGAGGACGAGAGGGATGATTGGAGGGCGGGGAACGAGTGTTGGGGATGTGATGGGCATTTTGGTGGTGGTAGTGGGCGTGACAAATTTTGGATTACGTGTTTTGGTCCGTCGGAGACTCGGAGTGGTATAAGCAGGCGCTCAGCGCTCATGCATCGCCACGGTGAACAGCCTGTGATCATGATCTCTGCCAGGTTGCGATTGGATTCGTACATGTGCCTCGCTGTACGTGTTTATCCTTACACCCGAAAAGTTCTTGCTCACAGTATGACAATATCAGTCCGTGCTACTGGTTGGCTGATCCTTGGACACCCCAAGTTTTTTTCTGTAATGCGCTATCAATGACTCACGAGTTTCGAAAAGAGTCAACCTTTTGGAAGGAGTCAACTGTTATTCTAACAGAATATGACAGTGGGTGTTTTGTTCGTATCCCAGCGTTCCTTGTATAACTGATGCTGGTAAGACTCTCAGGCTCAGGTTTGTATCGAGGTCTATTAGCCCAGAGTGCATCTTTGTGGCAGGAACGGTATCTGCCTTCCCAATTCCTGATTTCAGTTGATGTGGTTTAGTCGGCCTGACGAACTTCTTTGCACCTTCCAAAGAGTTACCGTATCTCTCTGCTGCGTTCCGTTCGCATCGTCGTCGATAGGTCTGGATTTCCCTACTCTTTGCCATAAGTCGCTCAGTTTTTCGAAAACAAGTTATGTTGGCTCATGATGATGTGGGCTGCGGCTATGATAACAAATGGTCAGCTGTCTGATTCCATATCATCGGTACACTGAAGTTCCCCGGCTCGGATGCACGTCGCCATCACATGACCCAGAAACATCGCGACACTATGAAGGTGCCTTCTCGCGTACGTTATACCACCTTATTTAGGGAGACAACTCGTAATCCATATTATCAGCCTGGAACGTGCATACACATTCATGACTGTGAGTATGTTTCAATTGTAGGTGTATACAAAGATCTCCGCTTTTAAACCGTCTGGTTTCCAGACTCATCGGTTGAACTGCACTATACCTGAGTGCCTAACTTACGCCACCGCACATCATCGTCGGCATCATACGACTCAGCACGTGTTAAAGTCGACACTCATAGCCATTCATGATTGCTACCGATACTTCGCCGACGGCAAGTCGCGAAGATTCGACAAGATCTTGTCCGGTCTCCACACATTGTATGTCCGCTTATGGTATTTTCCCAGGACCCATCGTTTTATCCCTGGAGTAATGCGTAATCGGATATGACAGTACACGTCTGTTCCTGTCCGTAGGGTTGGTGCAGGGAACCTTATTTAAACAGCTTAAATGCGCTTTCAATCAGGTCCATCCTAACTCCTCCAATCGATCATGCTACAGCTCCCTGACCTACGCATTTCTGATAACAAGTCGCTCATCCTCGATGTTGCGGCTTGTGTTGGAGTAATAGGAACGATTGTTTGGGTTTACCTTCGTAAATCAGATAGCCGCCTTCCTCTCCCACCTTCTCCTCCAACTTGGAGACTTCGGGGACACCTCCTGCCCCCTCGCGAGTGAAGTTTCATATCTGCAACCTCATCTTTATGATCTAATTGTATCACATGTCTCATCAGCCCATCTCTTACTTTGGGGCGGTGGATTGACGAGTATGGCCCTCTGATTACCATCCGCGCAGGAATACAGAACACGGTGATTATTGGCCGCTACAAAGTTAGTCCCTTTATGACAAGTTAGCATCTCCAAACTCAACACTCCGTGACAGGCCGCAGTGGATATAATGGAGAAGCAGGGTAGAACGCTAGCTGATCGACCTCGCCTCGTTGCTGCTGGAGACATTCTTACACGCGGACAGAGCCTCGTTTTCATACATGTTGGGGACAAGCTGCGTCGGATGCGTAGGTTCGTCGTCGCGATACTGTAAAGGCTCAATCGGCTCTTATGTTTCTTCTTGATGTGACGCAGAGTACTCCATACGCATCTCCAGCCCAAATCAGCCGATGAGTATCAACCTTTGCAGATGTTGCAAGCGAGAAGCCTAATCCTCAACATTCTTGACGATCCAAGCAACTTTCAGAACCATGCGATAACGTAAGCAGTTTTTTACGTGTTAGCGCCGGGGTCTCGTAGTATGTGACTTACGGGCTCTTGGAAGTTATGCCGCAGCGACGATCTTGCAAGTTGCATATGGGAAGACCTCGCCGACATCGGCAACTGACCACGAAGTTAAGGAGGCTCGCCACCTCATATCCCGACTTCGTACAATCCTGCGCCCCGGTGCTTACTGGGCAGAATCGATACCGTGGCTCAAATACCTTCCTTGGTATGCGCCAGAATTAAGAGACGACTATAAGAGGGCCACGCGACTCTATGCAGACCAGCTCAATCGTGTAAAATTGCACATGGTAGGAATTGCCTTGCCTATCTTGACATGTTGTCTGAGTTGGTCCATAGCAGAGGAATGAGGATATTGGCCCTTCGTTTTCAAGATACGTTCTAGAAAATCGACATCTCTACGACTTGACAGAGATGGAGATGGCATATCTTGCTGGCGGCTTTTTTGGAGCTGGAACCGAAACAGTAAGGCGTCTTTCTGTTTTTTTTGACGATTGTATACACTGAGGTGGGGCGACAGACTGCTACAGCGATATGCACGGTGTTAATGGCAGCCGCACGTTTCCCTGAAGAGCAAGCTAAAGTGCAGGTCGAGCTTGATGCAGTCATCGGAAGAGAGCGAGGTAGCTTGATTGTGCACTGTAGTTCTGTCCAATCATTCATTTTGCGCCAAAGCACCGACTTTCGCCGATAAACCATCCCTTCCCCGTCTGGAGGCCTTCATATCTGAGGCTTTGAGATGGAGACCGTTGGTTCCTTTTGGTGAGTTTCTGAATGGTCACTCCTGTGCGGACGTTCACATCGTCCATCCCACAGGATTACCTCACCGAACTACTGAAGACGTCATTTGGGCAAGTGTTTTTGAACGATTCGTTGTGAGGATAATCTTACATCTGTCATCCGTCTGCAGGAAAACTATTGCATTCCCGCTGGAACTACGGTGTTCGGCAACCACTGGTGAGTCTCCTTCAAGGTATCACAAATCAAATTGTCATTGCCTCAGGTCCATCTCTCGAGATCCAGAAGTCTATCCCGAGCCTGATGCGTTCAAGCCCCAGCGCTGGATTGACGATCAAGGTCGCTTGAGAGACGATCTCACATTCTTTGTATATGGGTTTGGTCGGCGGTGAGCACTGTCCTATGGGATGCACTTTCTTTGATTGTTCTTCCTTCCAGGGTATGCCCAGGTCAACACGTTGCGAACAGGTCATGATTCTCTCTACCCATATAATTTCCTGAATCTCATATGAAATGTTACAGATCGGTGTTCATCAATTCGCTTCTTATTCTTTGGGCCTTTCGGCTCAGTCTGGATCCTACGAAGCCACAGGATGACATGGGGTTCTCGAACGCGTTTATGCCAAACGTCCCATGCGCTATTGAATTTCAGGCGAGGGTTCCGGAAGTGGAGCTTAGGCGTATGATGCAGAATCATCCTGACGCTGGGTGAGAAGCCTTGACGTCTGGGTATGATTTCACTTTATTAGAAAGAGGCTATAGAAACAGTCTCAGTATCTGGAGAAGAATTGTTGAGGTATGGACAGACACGAGAACATTCCAACATCACAAATTTTGCAGAAGTGAGATATTACCTGTTGTTAGAACCACTTCGACTCAGGCCCGATCACTCTCGCGGGTCCGAGCGCTGTATCCCTATAAACTATTCCAGGCTGAGACCTGACAAACGTATGATTCGCCCAGGATAAGGCAAGTACTTGCTCAGTACTAATACTCAAGCCGAGTTAGGGGTTGCTGGCCCAATTGGAAATTTACGCCTTGATAACCTCTCACTCACTCATCAGGACGAAACATTGACCGCCTTGTCATGAAAATGAACCACGAAATAAAACCTAAATCAGCACTCTCGTTTCTTGCGGACGAACTTTGGGTTTACGTCCTAGGTTTCCTTTCTTGCACATCCGTAGGTTGTTGCCGTTGTCCTAGATGGAATCCTATGCTGAGTCACTAGTTCTCGCAGGTATGTAAGGCCCTTCACCAGATATACATGTCCTGCTCAGAGCTCCAGTACATCGTCAAACTCAGCGGCCAATGCTTGCTCCCCGGCATCTCCAGCATGGACGATTGTACCCCTATTTCCAAGCGCTTACAATGCTTGAAGGATAAAGCCCACGCATGGCTCAAGTTTGATGCCTATGCTTTCCAAACAGTTATCCCATCAACCTCGGTTGCTATAATGCAAAAATACGTCACCGGTGGTGAACATTTCTACTTGTGGAACTACCAGGACAACTTGATCACCATCAGCCCAATACCGTCCAAACTCTCACAACGAACAATTGAACAACACTGGTCACCCAGAACGTTATGTCCATTTCCTGGGGCGGAGAGGCAGAATGTATTGATGGACCCGGCACAAAATCTGTTCGCCATCATGTATGCTGTTAACAAGATAACCTACATTTACCTAGCAACTCTGGATGATGGTTGCGTCCACCCTCACGCTGCCGGACCAGCGCTAGTTCTGGAGTTTGCCGTATATGAGTGGCAAGCGAAGTACCAGTGTTATGGGAGGCATATCGCTTTATGGCGTCAATTTCACACTCGTGGAGTTGGGACTTCATCGATGCATCGTCTTCCCCTATGTGGCAGCTGCAAATTTGGGACTGGCAGCACTCGACAACATTAAGCGTGAGTCTTCATGCTTAAATCAGAAATCGACGAAGAATCGACAGTTGATTTTGAATTTAGAGTGTCCTCAGCAGCAGCATACAAACTACATTTCTCACCCCCACTAGTTTTTGTTTTCTCGGAAACGACAGGTTGCTCGTTGTCGCCGATAATTTGAAGCTGTATTTGATCAAGGATATGTCCGAGACGCCACGATTGCTGGCATGTTTCCTGTTGTTTTTCCTGTTGGAGGACACAGGTCACTACCTTCCGACTATGCATGGCTCACAGCTGCGGACGCAAGCTCAGTCGATGTACACCTCAGACCCTGAACATAGACTGCTATGCCTTACCTCATCGATTGATAAACGAACGATCTGCCTCATCTCCACGAAGATTTTCTTTGACATCGACGAAGCGACGGCAATAACGCCGATACCATGGAATGATTGGGGCCCTGGACATGTTCGTGTTGTTGAGCAGAGCGTGATGCACGTGTCAATT